CCACCTTGCCCAGCTCCTGTGGGGCCTTGGGACCTAGCTCAGGTCCTCAAGCATGCAAGGCTCTGATCCATCTCACCAGCCCTAGGCCAATTTGTGTATTAGGTTCTTGACCTGGAGCTTTTATTTCTGGCAGATAGGATAAAAATCAAGGCCTAGACCATTCTATAGCTATAGCAGGGCATTTACTGCTTTCACGGTGTCTCAATTGCTTGGCCTCTGGGCTTGGAGTCAACATTCTGCTCAACTCCATTCAGAGAAAGGGTAGTACCTGCCATACTCAAATGTGTGTAAGGAGTCCAATCCCAGCGTTTCTCTGTGTATAGGGGTAGGTGCTCTGACTTCTCCTGACCATATTCAACCTAACACTCTGCTGTGCTGTAGTCTCCCTTCGATGAGTTTTATGCTTAAGTTGTATACTAATGAACCTTCTCTGGCCTCCAAAGCTGGGGATGGGACTTGTGGTTCTGGACACCATCACAACGCTTTCTTTCAGCCCTTGTGTGCACAGATACCGCTGTTGGGTTGAATATCATGGGTATCCTCAAGGTCACACAGATACAGAATTGAGCAGGGCTCTCATTAGGCTGGATTCCTTCTGTTGGTAGAGGGAGGGGATGAGAGGCCCTGCGCAGAGGTGGTTCTTTTTGTTTGCTATTCTTTGAGAACCAGAAGGAGCAGGACCTCCTCGAGGCAGGGTCTAATCGAGTGCAGCTCCCGCACGGCTATCAAGTCTCACATTCTGCCACCTCAGCTTCATACGCTGAGACAGAAAAAGCAGTAGGAAGACTTGTTTAACATTTATTCTCAGGGTTTTTTTTTCCTTTTAATTTCCTCTGAAAGGAATATGAACCACGCAGGTCTTTGCACTCTGCAGGGGCTAATCCCCCACTGGACGCGCAGGGCAACCTCACTCCTTCTTGCGGATGTGATCTGTCGACACGAGCGTTCCTTCAGGCTCTGAAAGACCCACAGTGGACGGAGGGGCTCTCCCTTTTAGAGCTCTCTTACATTTTTAACTATAGGTTTTTTTTTTTTCAAAAAAGAAAACAATGCAGGAATTGCTTCCAGAGCTCAGATGCTTGTGTGGAGCAGTCTCCTCTGCTAGCGCAGGCGGCTTTGGCTGGCACGTCCGGGCAGTTCATGTACCCAGTGGCCCCACTGCTACGTGCCGCTGACAGAGGGGGGCACTTACGATGCCCCAGGTCCCACTGCTCATGATCGACGGGAAGTGTGTTTGCTGCATGTTGAAAGAAACATGGGGAGAACATGATCCTTTCATAACCGAAAGTGCTTAATAAGAACGATTCACTAACTGAAGTCATATTTTCCTTCGGTTTCTTAGTCCAGGACCGATTTCATTAACAACAGGAAATCTGTCTGAAATAACTTTTAATCTCCTAATTGGGATAGAAGGTCTTATCTTTATCCAGTGTACCTTTACCTTAAAAGGTATGTGTGTATGTGTGTGTGTCCACGCAAGTGAGTACCCACTCATGCGTGCATGCTTGTGTGTGTGTGTGTGTGTGTGTGTGTGTGTGTGTACACGCATGCACAAGTGTCGAGGACAACATCCAGGCATCAGCTTCTCCCCTTGCACCACGTAGGTTTTGGGGATGGAACGCAGAGCGAGCTATCAGGCATGCTGTCAGCAGCTATCAGGCATTGCCTTTACCTGCGGAGGCAGTTCCCCAGTCCAACACATGCAACACACGCTTTTCCCACAGCACTATAAGGAAGCGTATTTGATTGGTGAGGCTTTGATCTCAAGGAGCTCCTTTTTGAAACCCAATTTAATTTGTGACCAGCAAGGTGAGGTAAAAATCATCTTAGAACTGCTGATCCATCGAGATGGTCTAAATTACTCAAGGTGAGGAAGGCTGTCTGCTAAGTTCCCTGCCATACCCCTTCGCACATCTGCATGGCTAAGTCGCGAGAGCATTTTCTTAGCACAGAATAAAGAATGCACATCACAGAGCACTCCCCGGCCACTCTGTGATCGAATGGAAGGAGGCGCTATCTCAGAATCACAACTGAAGTCATAATTCTCCCCCTCACTATCTGATGGTGCCTTCTGCTGGTTTCTTGGGTGGCCAGTCACATGACAGATGAATGGGTCACATGACAGATGGATGGCTTTGAGACAGGAAGTGAAATAAACTTCTCCTAACACCCTCAGGAGAAAGAGGCATTGTCACCATTAAGCCTTTCGAAAGGATGACTTAATTCCCTTTAAACATCCCTCAATCCCCTTTCTGAGAACTTGGAACTGAACCCTGAAAGGGGCAACTTAGCTTTCCTACCGAAGCCGCAGACTGCACAGCACTCTGATTTCAAGAGAGAGATGGCATAACGTGCCCTGGCAGAGCCCCTTTAACACTCTAGCCAGAATCCTCAGGAAGGCTTCGTACTGGTGCAATTGCAGGAGAAAGGGCTGAAGGCAAACGGTGTGCTGTTCCAGAAAGGGCCTTTTTAATGACACTGTGGCCCTGAATCTGGACACTACTTGATATGCTCGGACCACCTGCCAGCCGGCTAGGAATGGCAAATGGGCAGCCAAAGGCCCTCCCTCCAGCCCCAGGCACCCCCATGCACGCAATGGCCTTGTGAGGCGAAAGCAATGTACAAACATACGACTCCTACTCCGGAGAGTCAAGAAAGCCTGGCAGTTCCTGTGTGGTCATCCACGCTTCCCATTCCTACTTCTAAACTCAGAAAATAGTCACTCGTTAGACTGGAAGATCCAGTCATCCTAGAGACCTTTCTCTGGGTAACTAAAATGCCAGGAAATGCTGTTGGTCTTGCTCCTCTCTCACTTTCATGTTGGCCCACATCACCGTCATTTCTCCCCCTGGTTTCTACAAGAGCCCCTGAGGGCTACCTCTCTGTGCATATTGTAATCTGCACTCAAAAGACAGAGGGGTCCCCCTATAACCTTGGTCAGACCATCTCATTACTGCTCAAAACTCCATCCCAGCCTCAGCGCCAGGATCCCAGAGCAAACGGCAGGTTCCTCGCAAGGGACCAGATACAGGCTCCCAGCACGTATTCGCCCATTCATGACTTGTCTTCTGCCTAGCACTCATTCCACCGAACCTGGGCCAACTTCTGGGACTGCTCTGCCACATGTAAGGAACGTTTCTGTCAACAGGCTCTTAGGGGTTTAGCTCAATAGCCTGCCAGGCTCTTCTCTAGAGTAGCCTCTGACTTGCTCCCTCACCTCCTTAAGTCTTTGGTCAAAGCCTAACTTACCAGGGGGGACTCCTTCTCATCATTCCCTGAGTCTACAGTCCCAAACGCCTAGCACATGTGTCCCTTCCTGCTTCAGTACCTCCACAATACACGGCCACCTGTGTAAATATGTAAACATTTAATTACATATTTTCGACACCCTGTCCCTAGAGAGAAGTTCCATGAGGGTAGGACTTCTTGACTGTTTTGTTTTCTTTCTTCTGCATTCATGGCACCTAGCAAAGACTGGCCCATAGCAGGTGATCAATAAAGACAGGAATCAATGACTGAACTATAAGCTGTAAATCAGTGCTGTCGGCCATCATGGGCTTACATCTACACGTTCCTCAATACAACACAGTATCTTCACGGTCTATAGCAGGTTATAGTCAAGGAAGAAAGAAAAAACAATGCAGGATTTCCAAAATCTCTTGGGCTCCAACTCCACACGTTAGAAGCTGAGTTTGTGTCTGGTTCCGGCACAGAGAAAGCCCATGGATCTACCCCAAGTGTTCTAGTTCTTCTTGTGAGGGAGGTAGCGATGGTGTCACCCTGGGGAAGGGAGAACGTGGTGGTCTCCATGCTTGTGTCTGCTCTAAAGCCAGCCACCCAACCATGTTCCCACATGGGGCTTGCTCCCCTGGAAACAGACACTCCCTCTAACAAGGATATCACAGTAGAAAGAACAATTTCCGGGGAAGCTCCACAAGTCAGGAGGATGCCAAGATACATGCCTTTGTTTGAGGTTGGCTTGAATTAGGGCAAAACACACAAAATTAGTGTGCTCTTTAAAGATTTTCTGTTTTCCAACGGAATCAAAGACAAGAAAAACAAGATCGGCACTGATGAGGTAACACTGAGGGCACTCGGAGGATGAGTGCGTGAGAGAGAGTTGAGTCGGAAGCAGGAAAAGACCGCTTCTTCCAAGATCAAGCTCTCCACCCATCAACAAATCCATCTGTTGTCTCTGTTTCTCTCTTGCAGCATATCAAATTATCATTTCACAGATGAGTCAGTTTAGCAACAGGAAAAGACAGCGCCCCTGAAACCAGTGTTCTCCCCCATGCCTACTGGGACTGCCTAAATCTGTTCCAAATATGGACATCACCTGAACTGTTGCCCAAGCATCGATACTTGAGTTTGGAAGAAATTCAAGTAGGAGTTGCTGCAAGTTCTGACCAGCCTAAATATCCTCTTGTTGTTTTAAAGGTCACGGTTGGCAGGATAGCAATGATAGAAGAAATTTTTTTGTGTGTGGTTCTAGACATAATTTTAAATGAGAAAACTTAGAAAGACACAAATTCCACAGCCTTTTACCATAGCTTTTACTCTCGCTACTCTAACGACTCTCCTCACTCACACTCAAACAGCTGCAGAGGAGATAGTCTCCACTGATCGATGTTGCTTCGTTAGTTTTGTTTCGCATGTGATTCCGACAAGACTGCCTCCCTTCAGAGCAGAGACCCTGGCGCTTCCCCTCCTAAAGCAGCAAGCCTAGAAGCAGACACAGAGTGGGTACTCACTAGACACCAGCTGACTTCACTTTTTTTTTTTGGTCAGCAATTCTTTAAAACTCTGGCAAAGGTTTTGAGACCGTGAACAGGCAAAGAGCTGGCCAGGAAAGGAAGCAGCGATGGAATGACCCGCGCATGTTTGCTTTGCGTAGCACAGTGAACCACATTCAAAAAGAAGTTTCAAAATGCATTCTTTAAGAGTTCCCTCTGAAACAGGTACGTTCTTAGTGCGAATTCAGAACTAAAGTAGGTTCTTACAGTTTTCATCCTGGGCAATGCACTGTAAGGGGATCCCAAAGAAAGATGTGTAGCTGTCATTGTACCACACCAGGAGCTCGGTGCCCCTGGGGATATCTATACAGGCTCGGTAGAATATATTCGACCTATTCAAAACAAAAGAAAACCCAACTTAGTCAGACGTAACGCTCATATGTCCCCACCGCATTTTTATTGGCCCCCAAACATTCTGCCCAGCTCCACCTAAACAGTTTATAATAAATCTACACCCACCTTCTTAGCCCAAGCCGTCGAGGAGAGCCTGTAACTTCGTGTGATAAACAATGTGTTTATTTCCACTGTACCCCTTAACAGAGGGTCTTGGGGAGGCCGATATATGGCCCGGGAGACAGCAGGGAAGTAGAAGTTCATTTAAAAAAAAATAAAAATTCTCTCTCACGCTAATGAGAAAATTCTTCCCAGTGGCTACGACATAGGCAGTGAATGCTGCCCCAACCACATAGGTAAATTAATTTACATTTTATTTATTTCTTATTTGAAGAGAAAGTACTACAGGTGATCTGTCACTGTGACATTGGGAGTCCCCAAAATTTATAATAAAATAAAGCAACTTTTAACAATATAAGGACTAAGAGAAGAAAAAAAAAACTCTCCCACCTGCTCCCTCCTCCTGCCCCCTAAAGTTTGATGTAGGAGAAGAGAAAAGCCCTCTTGTGTGAGACAGATGGAAATTCAATAAATACAAGAGGAGCACTTTCCTTGGGCTGAAAGATTACACCCTGGGTGATGGAGTGAGGGTAGCAAGAAATAAGCATCTTTTATAGCCGCAGCTTTGGTGCCATTAAGAAAAATCTACAGATTTTGAAAAGAATGAGGGTGTCGAGACTGGTTTTCTCAATGAAGGATTGTTACAAATATTAGCCTCAAGTTCCAGATAAAAGTGTTTAGGGTTGGTGGGCCTTAAATTTCGCCTTTCTGTAAGGAATTGGCTGCAGCAGCGTAATTTGTCCCTTGTAGAACACTGCAGACATAAGGGGAATCTCTCTCCACATTTTTCAAGGCAGTGAGATATGCACTTGTCAACCTACTTTGTCACCACAAAGTGGCTCTTGGCAATAGGATCATAAAGATCAATAAAAAAAAAAGTGCAGATTCTCAATATTTTACTTACGGCTGCAAAAATTTCATTTATCTTGTTATTTTCCTTACTTACTGCCATTCTGTCTCGCGAGGACACTGCTAGCTAAGCAGAACGTTTTTCCCCAACATTCTATGAATATCTGACAAAAACTCCAGCCGCTCATCCAGTCCTTGCTGCCCTTCCTGCCTTGGCACCTCTAGGAGCTGCACATTTTATTAATTTTTTCCACCGCTGCATAAAAAAAATCAAAATTGGAACCGAGTTAAAAATCGCTGACATCTCCTAACTTGAGAAAAATTGAGTCTACTTTGTACTTCAGCCTTGTAACATTTCATCTCTGGGTTTGCCTTTCCTTCGTGTAAACACAGCGCCCGGCAAATGAATGTGCTAAAACCAAACGACACACTTTGCCGCTGAAAGGGCAGAACTGTTTTCGAGCGATGGGTGGTCTTCTGGGGCACAGAGTAGGCCGAAACGGGGGTGGAAATGTGTAAGCGTACACCATCCCTGACAAGCACCCTGAGCTTCCAAAGCTTGCAGAAATCCCTGCATGCTGAAGCACATCAAAGGGATTTTTCCCTTTTCAGATAATATTTCCTTTGCTGACATGTATTTAGTATTGTGGTTGGATGACTCATAAAGATAGCTTCATGGCGTCCCAACGCAGTTGAAGCAGAACACATGCCAACAAACATTACTGTCAGCCTCAAAATAAAAACAAAACGTTCAGCTAAGGGTCAATCAATCAAGGACGCTTTGAAGAAAATTCCATTTAGATATTACAAATCATAACAGAATGAATTTAAACCAGCTGACTTTTTGTGAAGAGGACATTCATGTACAATAAAAATTAGGCTGGCTCTTTGGGGTCCAACTTTTCTATTTTCTTACTTTTGGACGTGGTCACTAGTGATGGATGCCAGTTTTTTTTTTAAGTTGTGTTTTTGTAGCTCATTGTATAAAGATCTGCAGTAATCCAAAACAGATCGGCTGAGAGTGAGCTCGTAGCTTCAGCGCCCTCATGAAAGGAGAGTTGTAAAATCCACTTAATATTGACAGATAGGTAATAGCTTACTCATGCTCCTCTCCCCTGAGGGGTTCTTGTCCCAAATTTAGAGTTTGCCTCAACAGTTCCCTTGGTATTTCTGTATTAGAGAAGTGGTCACACTCTCTCTTGCTGACTGGACAAGCACAACTTTTGCTAACTGTAGAGCTCAGGGTTGCCTAGAAAATTCCCGAGAGCAAATGCTGAGCGCTGCCGGGTTTGCACCGGTGCTAACCAAACAGCCTCTTGCACTGTTTCACGTGAACCATTTCTTAATGAAACTGCATGGGGAACCCAGGCAATGAGTCGGACACTGCACCAGTAGGTTCTTTGTAGAAGGAGACCTTCAGGGAGCAAGCAAGCCAGATTGGTGCACCTCTAAGCTATAAAGAAAAACGAGAGAGAGAGAGAGAGAGAGAGAGAGAGAGAGAGAGAGAGAGAGAGACAGAGAGAGAGAGAGAGAGAGAGAGAGAGAGAGAGAGGAGAAAAAAAACTTCACTTAAAAAAGGAAAATAAATAGCCCCAGGCAGAACTCCAAGTTGCTGAGCACAAGGCTCTCGGCTTTGATGTGTCTGTGGTACCCAATAAAGCTAAACAGTTGCTTCTGACTCTGAAGGGAACACGGTTGTTTATAACTGAGCTCATATATTTATACGGCACATGTTTTCGAGGGATTCTGAGAGGAGAAGGCTTGGTGGTGGGGCTGTTTTTCTGTTCGATCTGTTTCTGCCTTCTCATCTTGGTTCCAGCCTTCCTTAGGAACAGGGGGTGGGGACGGCAGGTGCATGCAGAAGAGGGGGGGCTTTCTGCTCTATCCCTGTGTGACTCTAGAAAGTGAAACTACCTCTCCCTGGATCTGTCACTCTTTGGGCACTGCCCATTCCTCTTAGGAAACAGTGGTGGGGGTGGGGCTTCTTTTCTTTAATTTGAAGCCACCACATCACCTGGAACACAGCTGAAATCATCAAAGGGGCCAAGCCCAGATGCTCTGGAAACTTTTGAGAGAAGAGGAGAGGTTGCGCATCTCAGTCCTGGGGCTGAGCATGGCTGGCTTTGGAAGACGAGTGCTTGGTTTTCCAGACCTTGGTCCAAATGAACCTAATTCTCATTCTCTCTCTCTCTCTCTCTCTCTCTTTCTCTCTCTCTCAGACAGACTGATGGAGTCTGAAAGGAACAGAGCTGGAACTGAGTTTCCAAGTTTCCATTTATATGTGTGTGTGTGTGTTCACATCTGCTGGGGGATTAACCCCAAGTTGGTGGGTCTGCCAAACTCATTCAGGTCCCTACAGACATTCAAGCGAAGCCGTAGAGTAACTTCAGGCTGTGTACCAAGTCAGAGAGAGTATCCGCTAGCACCCTTACAGATCTCTACAGGGTTCTGCGGGATGCTTGCAACCACTTCGCGGTAAGCCTGAGTTCGCACGTGCAAGCCAACGGGCTCCAGCGGTAAATCAAGACATACTTTACCTGTACTGAACTACTGTTAGATTCTGCTCTCCACAGTGCCTTGCACATCGGATATACCTCATCCAGCTCGACTTACTAGGCTCCCCACCATCAATAAAGTGCTGTAGTGTCCCATCTTGATCATATATCTGGAGAAGAGGTCAGAAGGTCAAGTGGTTAGAACGAATCATCAGCAATCATTTTCCCTGTGTCCCTTGATGTCTCTCCGTGTCCGCCACAGAGATTTATGGTCCTTGGGGTTGCTGGGGCCTATTGATGGCTGTGGAAACTCGGCGAGGTTAACGGGAAAATGTTTTCTGGTGAGGCAAGTCGATCATGTTTCTCTTATCAAGCCAATCTTCCCTGTATTAAACATAGTTGTGGTATCTCAAGGATGTGACCATATTTCCCAAAGACTATTTAACCTATTTTGACAGGCTAGTCTTAAATAATGAGCTGCTGGGTAAACAGAGCAAGCTGAAAGGAGAGGCCACGCTGACATGATTGGAGCAAGCACATAAAAGGCCCTCCGGCATGCATCTACCCCAAAGCATCCGAGAAAGGCGGTCACTGTCCATCCGCCGAGCTGGGTGACCCCCAGCAAAAGGCGACTGGGAAGTTGTAGAACTATAGAGGGCCGGTGGAAATGGACTCTGGGATGGGAAAACGGGGGGCTGTCCCCTCATAGGAGATATAGGTCCCTGAAGCCCTTAAGAGAGGAGTCATCCGAAAACACCCCCAGAAAGGGGAAGAGAAAAACAGCTGTCTCCTAGGGAGTTTACATTTCTCAACCAAGGTCACTTTCACCATCATTGCCTTAGGTTCAACCCCAGCAGATTCCTCAAGATAGGAAAAAGAAAAGAAACCGCACTTCAAACCAGTTGATAAGCGCAGGATACCCTCTCCCCAAATCCTGATTCGGGCAGCTTGGCTAGGCACCCAGTGGTTGTTGAAAGTAGGGTCACTAGGGCCCCTCCAGAAACCACTTTGGTTCCAGGAACTTCGTGTGACATGATGTTCAGGAGCCGGGGATGGGGCAGTTACACAGCCAATAAACAGTCGTTCTCTAAGCTCTTCCCAGACGTGGAGGCAGCCAGGAAGCACAAGGCAGTTCAGGAGTTCCTTGGGAAGTCTTGGGAGATAGGTGAGTTGGCAGTGTGCTTCCTGCAGAAATGGGAGGACCTCGGTTTAATCCCCAGCACCCACATGAAACACTGGCAGTGGTAGCACATGCTTGTAATCCTCCCACGGGGGAGGCAGAGACAGGCGGATCCCTGGAGCTTGATGAACTATCAGCCTGCCACAAAGATAAGTTCCAGATTCCAGTAAGAGACCCTGTGTCACCAAACAAGGCAGATGGCTCCTAAGGACCAACATCTGAGGTTAACCTCTGACTCCCACCCACCCACACCCGTACTCATAGACAGGTGGGCACACACACACACACACACACACACACACACACACACCTGCACGTGTACATACATACACATGCATACACACACACACAAATAGTTTCTTAGGAGTCTAGATCTTAGAACAACACTGGGAAAACCATGTATATTTTGAATAGAGTTAGTACAGCCTCCCTGGAGCTGCTGAGGGGTTCCCCCAGAGCATCCCGAGAAGCCACACCTTTTTTTCTGAGCCCTTCCACTTTTCTTCTCCAAGTAAACATGCAGAATAAAGCTTCCAGAATAAACCTCATTGTGTGGCCACTCACACTAAGTAAGATCAGTGTTTCTAGTCTGGAGGGTGTGGGGAAGCGTTTTCTTTTATTTCACGCAACTGAATACTCCCCCTGGTTTTTCTGATATTCAGTCTCCTCCCCGAACCTCTCCACTGCCCCCACCAATAAAAGAAAAACTTTAATCCAATAAAGACAAACATCTGTGAATTTAGGACTGGATCGCCATACCGGGACCATCACAACTGATAATCAGCTCAGCCCGAAAGGAAGGAAAAGGTCCTGGACTGTGTTACAGCTGGGCCGAAAAACTTCTTCCAATTCCTTGCTTGGGGATAAAAGCAGAAAACGGAAACAGGTTACGTGGTTGATCTGTCTGCTGAGCAGCAAGCTAAAGGCAGACATGTTTAGGTTGCCTTTACATTATGTTCCACTAATTGTTTAGATTTCATTACCCTTAATTGTTTGTTGTTGTGTCGTGACTTTTTCGCCATTGTTGTTAAGACAGTCAGTCAAGCAACATTCAAAAATCTCACCCTTGAGACTGCTGTCACCAGCCAGAGAAACTGCACAAAACTCTCCTCACCACTATTGATAATAAGTGGAATAAAATTTCTTGATGAAACCCTATTTCCCTTTCCCTACAAAGATACCTTGCTTATCTTGCTGCTGGTGATAATTACTACAGAACATCCTGAAAAAGTGTGCACAACAGTCCTCTTTCCTGCTCCCGGCCTGGGTCCTCAGCACCAAGTGACACTAATCCCGTCGGTAAAAGAGCCCCAGCCGTGTGCCAGCTCAGCTGAACCCCACGTGCTCCCAAGTCTAACCTGAAATGAGTGGAAACGGGTTTCCTGCGACAAATGTGTGTCAGCATCAATCTCCATAAATAGATATGCCCACAAAGAAACCACAGTTTTGCCTCCTACTTGACTTGAAGAGAGGCCGACTTTCCGGGCTTTGGCCAATACTGATTACGGTAGTTCACATAAAGCTGCGATGATGCCGGACACCTTCAGTCTCCTGACTGTGTGCCTAGGGGTGAAGACACTCATCTGACCATGACTCTGCTCTCAGACTTCCAGCTACCACCAGCCCCACACAAATCTCCTTCCTAATGGCCTCCCTCCCCACTGTTAGGCACCCTACCTCAAATGATAGACAACCGTTCACACAGGAAATGTGACAAGAGCCCCTTGAGCCTTCTCCCTTACAGGAGCGCTAAGATATTATCTAAACTGGAGCCAGTATAATGCTTAAAAAATACATCTAAACGACGCCTGTGGGCGCAACACCTCTGGGAGAAAAGAACAAAACAAAACTTCACAAACGTTGGGCATTTCAGGTGACCAACACATGTGAAGTTCTTCAAGGGGGCTTGCCACACTGATAGGAGCAACAGTGTCTCCTGGGGATTCCTGGGACCCCAGAACTCAGGGCTTTCGCACTCGCCTCCAGACAGCTCTGAGCTCTCTGTAGTCTGTGCTGTTAAGAGGGAACATTTAAAGGCAACCTTTCTTGCAAGAGCCAAAAGGAGCCAGAAAATTTTGATGCCTGTGTTCTTTATTTAGTACAAAGTGCATAAAATGGGAGGGGGCTGTGCAAATGTTGGAAGCTAAACAGAAAGTAAGGACATCTCTAAGAGACGTAGTTACAAGTGGGCACTTGGTTGCTCACCACGGTCAGGTAGCTTTGTTAACATTTAGGAGCTTGGTTAGGAGACAAAATCTGTATGCAGCTTATCTCCCAGACAGCAGCTTTCTAGAGGGAAAGAAGCTAAAAGGAACTCCAAGTGAGATGTAGCAAGCGCGAGAGCCCAGAGTAGCAGCTACAGCTCCAAGTACAGGAAGTTGTTCTCGGAGGTTGAACTGGCAACCCACATTTGTGGGATAGTAACATGATATTTTAAGATGGATACCTGATAGCCTCCCCATCCTCAAACCCAAGGAATTTGGAAGGTGAACTATGCCAAGACCTAAAATAACTGGTTCTTATTATCTATCTTTCGAAAGATTTTAAATAAGCAGAAAAAATATTTTTTTTAAATGCTCCAAGTGTTTAGACAACTCCCCTAGGACCTGTGAAAATTGGAAAGGTCAAGTTGTTTATTCATTCAAGTGGTGGGCATAAAGGCATGAGCGCTAACTTTAGATTAAGAGAGAAATTCATTCTGTAAAAACACCTAACACAGCAATTTTGCCAGAAAGGGTGCCCTTCATTCTGAATGAAAATGAACAGCGTTTTAATATTTTCTCTATTCTTCTCTAATGTGAAGCGAAAAAAAAAAAAAAACCTCTCAAGGTAGGAGAACTGCATGAGAAGAAACGTGTAGGACACCTGGTCAGGGAGTGCGGGGTGGAAGGGGTAAATTCTGTAACAGAGACTCTGAACCGTAGGATGGATCATTTAGAATTCGTTATGCAAAAGCCAGTTCCCCTATTGCCAAGGGACGTGTACTATGGAACAGGCACATTGGAGGACACTTTGACAAAAACTCGATAAGTTTGAGAATGGTTATTTCCTATGGTTTAGCAATTTTACATCCAGGGAATTACTCAGTGCAGTTCTGAGTAATTCAGAGATGGTTTCAAAGGTATTCACTGATGAACCATTTGGAATAACAAAGAATTAGAGGGGGCTAGAGAGATGGCACAGCAGTTAAGGGCACTTAATACTCTTCCAGAGGACCTGGGTTCAATTCCCAGCACTCACATGGCAGCTCACAGCTGTCTGTAATTCCAGTTCCAGGAGACCCGACACAACTGTCTGTAATTACAGTTTCAGGAGACCCAACACCCATTGCGAAACACCGATGCACATAAAATAAAAATAAATAAATTTTAAAAAAGAATTAAAAATAGTGGAAATCTGTTGTCATTGGAAGATCCATCCAAAAAAAATTGCTTAATACATTTAACATTAATGAATTATCTCTGTTTGTATTAGGAGATAAATATTAAAAACATAATGTTGAGTGAGAAAAAGCAAAGTGCAAACTATTATGTTATCAGTTGTTAAAATATACAAAAGAACACTCTAAGCAGTGTATGTATGGCAGTACCCATTGCAATGTATAGAAAGCAGCCAGGCGGTGGTGGCTCACACCTTTAATCCCAGCCCTCGAGAGGCAGAGGCAGGTGAATCTCTGTGAGTTCGAGGCCAGCCTGGTCTACAAGAGCAAGTTACAGGACAGGCTTCAAAGCTACAGAGAAACTCTGTTTCGAAAAAACAGGGGGGGGAAAAAAGAAGCAATGTATAGAAAGCATATATAAATATACAAAATAACACTGTAGTGTATGTTATGGTAGTACCTATTGTAAAGTATAGGAAGCATATGTAAATATACAAAATAACACCCTAGTGTATGTTATGGCAGTGCCTATTGTAAAGTATAGGAAGCACATGTAAATATACAAAATAACAACCTATTGTATGTTATGGCAGTGCCTATTGTAATGTATA